TACCTCTTCCCCTCCGCGCACAGAATAGGTCCCCGGATTTTCCCGCGCACACACCGGATGTAGGCACGACCGTATCCGTAACCTACTTCCGCCTCCGGAACTTCTGCGCATGCGTAGTCCTTGTGCCGGAGGTCTGTGAGTCCCTCGCTGGTGCTGACCTGTGCGCATGTCCATCTGTGGCTGTAGCAGCTGTGGTGGCGTGGCAGGGGGCGGAACCAGGCTCGGGGGTGTGACCAGGGACGGGGATTTGGTAGGAAGGGGAAGTTGGGGAGGTGGGAGGCAGTGGGGTGACAGGAAAATAAAACCAACCTTGATATCACAACCTTTTACTACATGTACATTATAGGGAAAAATAAAATCTGGGAGAAGGCCTACATGGCGGAAAAGATGGGTGAGTGGGGGGAAGAGGGGGGTGGGGGATACAGGAAAGTAAGGGTTTCTTTACAAAATAACATAAAGTCAAAATAAAGCATCATTATAGACGTAACTTTCCATATTTGCAAATACCGAATGCGATATGTTACAATAACAGGAAGGGAAATAAAAACAAAGCCATTCAATAAAACAGTATTATAATTTTGGAGTTGCGTATGCTCATGATATTATCAGACCCTCTAAGTGCCATTTGAGATGTATTTAAAGCCATGCAAGAATGTTGATTTAAATATATGATAACAGGTTCATTGCTCGTGGAATACAGTTTCAAGACACAGAATAACATACAACCATTCGGGACTTACATGATCTTGTACGCTCATCCAGGGTCCCCACTATTTGTGGGCATTATTTGGGTCCCCATGACGTCATGTGAGAAAGAACTTATTTTGAGAATGGGGGCTGAGTTTACTTTTACCGTGTATATATAGGCATAGGTCTATATAATAGGATCTTAAAATGCATGTCAAATGTGCAAAATTAAAGCTCTAATAAATCTTTAGTATTTTTTCTAGGAGGTTTTAGGGGTTTTTGTTTTGTTTTTGTTAGTTGATTTATTGTTTTTTTCCTGCTGTTGTTTTTTTATTGCCCAAAGAGAGGGGGGAACCATCGTGAAACACGAATCTTCGGTAAAAAAAAACAAACATAGCAGGGCAGAGCTACTCAGCAAGCGAGAAATTAAACATTATCTACCAGTGTCTTCTTCCAATTACTTGCTCATCCCAAAGTTTACCACAAGTTAAAAAAAAATCAAGAACGAGGGGGCTGATCTTGATATTTACCAAAACCCTGATTCGGGTTTGAAAGCAACAAGCATTCGTAACAGTGCGCAACATGGGGGATTGTCATCCGCCCAGTCTTACAAAACGTTTAAAACACGTCTTCATATTCCAATAGAAACAACCAGAACAAAAATATATATGTCGTGTGAACAGCACATTATTAAAAAAAAAAAAGAAAGAAAAAAAAAGAAAAACATTTTAAATAGCCCTTGGTGTCCGTGACAGACCGAAGTGCAGAAACAAGACGTAAGGACCCAAGAAATGGCTACAGCTGCGATAGAACTGGATTATTACACTTTTCTAAATTCTAATACATTTCGATTTATTAAAGTGCTATTTCAGATGTATTTTCCACCCTTAAAAACAAGGCCATGAATTTTGAAGTAAACGTGACGTCTCAAACGAGAATTAATTGTTTTGTTTATTTTGCTATAATATTTTCACAGGAATAGTTTATATTCGCTGCTGCCGTTACATCAAAGATTCTCTGTAGAGTATCTTTAATTAAACCGTTTGCCCATTTCCTGTTTCTACGGACTGAAAGCAACACCAAGGGCCATTACTCTAATTCGATGTCCGCACGACCGAGTTGATCCAACATCTGCGAGCAGAGTGCGACAGTTCTGTCGTGGTTGTCTGCCCTTTGAGAGATGTGTGTTCCGGGAAAGGCATAGGCTTCTGGGAGTAGGACACATTTCTGCAATGTTTGGATGTTAGCACAGTCCTCTAGAATTCCTCGTACCTTTGGGGTTGGGAAAAGAGAAAGATAAGAAAGCAACAAAAAAAAAACCCCAACAAACCCAACCGAAAACATAAATGGCTGGAGAGAGAGAGAGAGAGAGAGAGAGAGAGAGAGAGAGAGAGAGAGAGAGAGAGAGAGAGAGAGAGAGAGAGAGTTTACAAACTGAAAACAAACTGATAAAGAAAAAAAGAAGAATATATATGAATGTAGTGATTGAAGACATATTATATGATTGACGAAAGAAAGACAGAATTCATAAGTATATGAAAGCAAAACCCTAAAACATCAAGGATCGAAAAAAGAGAGACAGATAAGATGGTAGAATTTGAAAAGATTGTAGAAAGAGAGTGGTTTGTTGAAAGGAGCTCTGGAGTTGTTTTCTTCTTCTTTCCTCCTCCTTTTCTTTCTATGTTACTCTCTGGTTACACCTCTAATCTTCGTTTATATGACCTATTTGTATTGCAAGTGATGTAAAACACCAAGTAAAACTAATAAAGCTAAGAAAAAAGAGAGATATGCAAAGAGCAATGTTGATGATTGTTAAGGGGATATGCGTGTGGGAAATCGGGCCAAAAATAGAATTTTCATCGAATATTCCATTTTGGCGAATTTTGATAGTTCAACCATTTCTACACGTCGTCGTATGATCAGTTATTATACTAAAGAAAGTTCTCTTCCTGACATAAATTTCCTTGGAAATATGTAAATCTAGGTATAGGAGGCCTTTCCTCTGGTGTTTGGTTGAAAAACAACTCATAAACTGAAGCAAATAACGACATAATGCAAACAGCACAATGCATCCTTCCCCGAGGTGTTTGGTATCGCTGTTTATCTAATTCAAAGATCGCACATAACAAGATAGTTCACTCAACCAAAGATAGTACATAACAAGATGGGCCACTTCTCTCTTTGAGCCAATTAAAAAAGTGTCCTCAAAATTTGGTGGCGCCCTCTTCACAAAAGCGCACTCTTTGCGAACAGAGTTACCCTACTTGAGTTTTAAAAAATTAAAGTGAAACTAGCAAGTTTTGGGATAAATTTCGGAAGAACGCTTTTTTAAAATGGTTACGCTGACAAAAAACCTCTTCCGGAGGAAAGGGTGATGGTTTTCTTTGTTTAATTTGACTTTAGAATGAAAGGCGAGAGGTCATTAAAATGTTAAAAACCTAAAACTCCGCACTGAACGTACCCGAACTGCTGATGAACAGCAGTCGATCTGCGCACGCAAGGAGGTGCTATTCCTATTCTTCTTCTGGAAAAACGAAAGAGAGCTTCAAAACAGACTGCAGCGCCATCTGAAGCAAAGAGCATACTTCCTGCGGACACTTTTTTGGCTGAGTGGCCCATCTTGTTATTTACTATCATTGACTCAACCAAAAAAAGTGCCCGCGGAAGTCCTCGCATTGGTTCAGATGGCGCTGCAGTCTTTGTTTTGAAGCTTTCTTTCGTTTCCCCAGAAGAAGAATAGGAATAGCACATTTCGTTAGTTTCACTTTTATTGTTTTTCACACAAGTAGGGTAACTATGTTCGCGCAAATTCAGCTCTTTTTCGAAGAGGGCGCCACCAAATTTTGAGGACACCTTTTTAATAGGTTCAAAGAGAGGAATGAACTATCTTGTTATACACGATCTTTGACTCATTTTCCTCTTTTTGCGTTTCCGAAATCGACACAACGCTAGAAAGCGTGGGAACAAAATACATGTATTGAGAAATTGTGAGAGAATATTACTTTTTGGTCGTTTTTGTAATTTTCTCATTTCGTCCCCAGAAATTCGTATTGCTCAATTGTTTGCGAATCAAACTGAATGAAACTTTGTAAACAGGTCTATTGTGATGTTGTGCACATTCATACAACAGGATTTGATTTGTAAAGTACTTTTAAAGAAAAATGTTTTTTAACAGCCCCAGCCCCTTAAATCGTCATACTGTGAGTACGCTAAAGTGTAGAAGCCCGTAAAATCTTTGAAATTGTTTTAATAGAAAATCCGTGTCGTACGAATTTAGATCTTAGTTCGATTTATATCCTCACAAAATTTGAAGGAGATTGGTGTACAATTAATTGAGCGACAAACCTCTCAACTGATGAACTTTCGTTAATTTGCGACCATTTTTTGTATCGTTCGGCTAAGGACTGTTAAAAAAATGTTAGTTTTGAATCTTTTTTCTCAATCTCTAAAGGGCCTACCGCCAAATGTGTAATTTCAATGTTAAGCCAAGTATCAAAGGTCCTTATTTCAAGATAGAGGAAAAGGACATAATATTTCATGTCACATACGGGAGGGAGAGAGAGAGAGAGAGAGAGAGAGAGAGAGAGAGAGAGAGAGAGAGAGAGAGAGAGAGAGAGAGAGAGAGAGAGAGAGAGAGAGCGAGAGAGAGAGAGAGAGAGAGCGAGAGAGAGAGAGAGAGAGAGAGAGAGAGAGAGAGAGAGAGAGAGAGAGAGAGAGAGAGAGAGAGAGAGAGAGTGTTTGTGCCAACTTGTGTACATTTAACTTTAACATAATCTGTCCACACATAAGTGAACACACTCCCTACATTACCTCATAGAGAGGCGGCGGTATGAAGGACTGTATACAGAGGACCTTAAGGTGGGTGCAGTCCATGCTGCGACGTACGATCTGTCGCATGCCTTCCATGGACAGCGAGCAGTAGGAGATGGCGAAGCAGGTGATCAGCTCCATACGTGGTAACAGACAGGCAACCTGCGTGTTGTTGTGTGTAAGTGTGTGTGTGTGTGTGTGTGTGTGTGTGTGGAGAGGGGTGGGGGGGGGGGGGGTATATGTGTGCGTGCGTCGAAGACGGGGCAGAAAGTCAGAAAAACGCATTTAATATTTATTTAAGAAATATGTTTGTGCCTAAAGAAAGGTACCAAAAGTCGCGACAGACCATTTTGAGCAACTGGCTGATTACGACAAAAAAAAAATCACTTTTTAAAAAACCAAAATGTGTTTCCATTAAAACTGATGGTTCCACAATTTTTAACAATATGTAAAAAAAGTTTTCATTGATTTGATTTCTAAATATTTTATTTTGAATTATTTTGAGAGTAGGGTATGTTTAAAAAAGATAATGAAAACTGCTTTTAAAAGGTGTCAAAATCTATTCTTGAAGTACGTTTTCTCTTCCCTGCTATGTTTTACCATTGAATTCTAATCATGATATCGGCGTCAACTGAATGCTGAATTGGAAATGAATTTTCCGTGAATAAATAGATTAGATTCAATTGAATTATAGTTTTTTTAAAAATCAAGTTTTTATGTGTTCTAAACTTAAAAGCTATTTTTCTAAAAATTAGATCTTTATACACTACCTTGCAAAATGTGCAATGTCTCAAAAACTATTTGAGATATTAAAACAATTCAAAATCCACAGTGTTCAGCATTGAATGTCCTATTAGGCACAACCCTTAACTCAAAATGGTTAACATCGGACTTTTGGTACCTTTCTTTAGGCACACACACAATGGTGAACAGAGGGAGAAGTACAAAAGAGTGAGAGTAGAGAAAAGGACAAAGACGGGTATATATGCAAAAATTAAAGAAAGAAGTTATAAGGGAGAGACAACAGAGGTATTATAGGAAATTATTATTTTGTCAAGTTCTTGTTTTTATTCTTGCTGTTCTTGTTCTTGTTCTTGTTCTTGTTCTTGTTCTTGTTCTTCTTCTTCTTCTTCTTCTTCTTCTTCTTCTTCTTCTTCTTTTTCTTCTTCTCCACACCACACTTGAATTCCAGTATCTATATGACGGACCGCCCTGCTCAGTTCTTCTTTCGGTTAGAAGGCCTACAACTTTTTCAGAAGTGTCAATGGGATTGGCACATTTCCTGTCTCAGGGCTGTGTGTGTCCTGCATTTCTGGAGGATGGATTCCAGTTTGCTCGGCTTCTCTACACTGGTATTTTGGTGACTGTACTAGTTTAAAATATGTGTACATACATGTGCTGTCTGAGTCTTGTTAGTTGTATACTTAGTCTGGGGATAATCACTAAGACTTGCTCTTGGCGGGACAGCTCATGGTAGTTATCTGATCTCTGTGGCGCTTCAAATCTACGATTCAATCAAAGACCTATGCCGTATTTGTCTAAAATTGATTTTTTTAGCTGTCCCTTGGCTGCAGATCCTTCTCCGTCACATATCTTTTCGATGTGATGATCAGATTGTAAATAACTTATCTTTACAGTCCTATCGTCAGATTGAAAAGATATAAGACGATGAAAGATCTGCGGCCAGGGAAAAAGAAAGAACGGAAAAAGTCGATTTTTAGAAGAAATGTGGCATATGGATTCCTTGAACTGAGCCGTCGATCGAAATAGTGTTTTTATGAGAGGCTTCATTTCTGTGCAGTATAATATGCTGTTGTTGTCTTGTTGCTCTTTCTGCGCACCCAGTTTTGCTATCCAGTCCGCCTGTTCCTTTCCTAAGACACCACAGGGTGAAGGTATCCACTGCAGCACGATCCTCAAGCATGGAATGCTCTCCCTTACCTCTCACAGCCTTCGGAGTTTGTCGGCAGTGATTGCCTGCAGTACTGACCGTCTTCAAGTGTCATTTGTGCAGTATTATGTGGTTTTGTGGTTTTCTAGTGCAGGCCTTGCACTCCAATATCTCCGATTCCAGCTCTCCATCACTAACCCCAAACGAGAATTGACATGAATCTCAATTCCAGATCATTACACGGCGATTCGATTGGTAGATTCTTTCAACTAGAGAAAGTGGTATTTGAAAAATGGGTAAAACAAGACCCCCCCCCCCCTTCTTAAGACGGTAAAGGCGTCTCTTTTGAATGCCGTCAAGCGACCCACATGTGACCCAAAGATAATGGAGTCCTCAGATATGCGTTATAATGAAAAGATCAAGTACATTCCGACTGAAAGTTTCAAGTTTACTTTTATCCTCTTGTGATTTATCTTCACTTACCAAGGGTGATAAGGGACTCAGATTGTTTCTGCTCAGATTGAGCTCCTGGAGTCCCGCCAAACCTGGCCACAAGAGGAGAGACCGGATGTCCACCTGAGTCAGTCGGCAGTCGCGAAGGTTTAAGTAGGTCAAGCGGAGAGTGGGCGGGGCTAAGAGACTGTCCAGACTTTCTTTCAAAGTACAAGATGCAAGGTTCAACTGTGGAACACAAATCATCTTAGTAAGCGCTTTATGGCACTTACAACATAGTAAGGTAATGTACGTGCCGAAGTTTAAAGGTGTTACAGGAGAGTAGCAAACACAAAAAGGAGAGCTAAGGACAATAAATATTTGATAGAAAAGAAGGAGCAAACCACACCAGAGCATCCACCAAACACCCACGAACAGAATTTATATATAATTACTTTGTACTGCTAAGTGTTTATTGTATACGCTTATTTAACGCCCCTTCAACACGGTAAACCGATAATGTCTGGAAATAGGTGTAATATGACAAACATTATAATAATATCATTTATATTGTCGCTCAATTATTTAGGAAGAGTAGCAGCAGCAGCAGCAACAACAGCAAAGACAACAACAACGACAACAGCAGCAATAACAACAACTAATATATACACTGACGGCTCAGCGAGTGTAGGAACAACGGATGGTGGCGCTGGGGTCGTCATCACAACGGGGGACCCGTCCAACCCGACCGTTGTCGAGACATTGAGTGAGAAAGGCGCAATATTCACGAGCTCTTTCGAGGAAGAGAGGAGAGTCTTGGAAATGGCCATTGACTGGATCGACAAACAATGTGATGCATCCAACTCGGTTGCTATCTTCACTGACAGTCAATCGCTATGCATGGCACTAGTGGGAGCATCACCATCCTTCGACCTAATGCGACTGTGCATACATAATGCAACACCTCAACCCACGATTCAGTGGATTACTGGTCACTGCGATATCCTCAGCAATGATCTTGTTGACAGTAGTGCCAAACTGGTAACAGCACTGCCGGGTCTAGTCCACCAAATTGCACATGAAAGAGCGTGCGCCCAGATTAAACTGATCACACAAGACCCTGATCCGATATCCCACACGCGGACGAAGGGCAATTTCCTTAAAACGAGAGGTTCAAAATAAGTCCCGCAGTGACCAGTCACTACTGGCAAAAATCAGGCCCGGTCATTTCTTTGGGCTGCGGGCCTACAAAAACAGAATAGACAAAACATCGGACCCAATCTGTCCATTGTGCAGGGAGGAACCCCAAGATTTGGAACGCTGGCTGCAGAGATGCCCCGCCACGGAGGTCCGCGGTGGTACCTCTTTGGAGAGGATTCAGGGAGGTTGGACTGCCATACAATGAAGCGGAACCAATAAATTGGCAAAAAGATATTATTAATCCGCATACAGGAAAAAGAGGCTAAAACAGCACCTGGACATAGATGGCTGGTGCCTCTATAAATAAATCATTGATGGTCAGGTCTGGTCAGGTTGGACTGCCTCACCCGCTACCCGAGGGAGGCGTTGGCCCTGGCGAAGAACGTGCCCTGGCGAAGTGCACGCTCTTCGGGGCTCCAAACATTTCGAACGGATAGGCTCCCCCCCCCAACAACAACAACAACAACAACAACAACAACAACAACAACAACAACAACAACAACAACAACAACAACAGCAACAACAACAGCACCAGCATCCCTACCTTCCTGAAACAAATGAGAGGCCTAAGAAAACACACTCCCTCCATCTATGAGACAGTGCTGGGCAGAGACAAAGTTTACAACAGCAATGAAACCACCGCCATCACCACCACCACCATCATCAAGAACAACAACAACTACCCCACTATCACCACTACCTTTACCACCATCAACAATAACAACAACAACAACAACAACAACAACAACAACAACAACAACTACACCACAATCACCACTACCTCTACCACCATCAACAATAACAACAACAACAACAACAACAGCATCATCACCTTCCTGAGTTTAATGAGAGACTTGAACACCCCGGCCAACTGGGAGGCCACACAGGGCAACTGTTTGACAAGTATGGTGTTGGGCAGGGACAGAGCTTGCAACAACTACCCCATCACCACCACCACCACCATCATCATCATCATCATCATCATCATCATCATCATCATCATCATCATCATCATCATCATCATCGTCGTCATCATCATCATCATCATCAACAACAACAACAACAACACCACCACCACCACCACCACCAACAACAACAACAACAACAACAACAACAACTACCACACTATCACCACTACCATTACCACCATCAACACTAACAACAACAACAACAGCATCCTCACCTTCCTGAGTTTAATGAGAGACTTGAACACCCCGGCCAACTGGTAGGCCGCACTGGGCAACTGCGTGACATGTATAGTGTTGGGCAGAGACAGAGCCTGGAGCTCCGTGAGTCTCTGAAGACCTTCTAGGAGATGTTCCCAGCGGACGGGGTCAGTACACACCTCTTTGTCTTCTATCTCCACGTGGGTCAGGTACTGATGGGTGGGAGGTTGGTGGGTGGATGGATGGGTTTGGTGTGGGTTGTAAAAGCGAGGGGGGGGGGTGTTGTGTTGTGTAGTTTAAGAGGAGCATGGAAAAATGGCATTATAAAGACAGAAATCAAATACGGTCTAGTAGGCACATAGCAGATAACGAACACGCTCATACCAAAACGTACTCATAGCAAACAGAATTTTACGTCCTGATTTTTTTCATATACATGTATATTGTTTGGATCTAAACGTACATAGCGAAATTCGTTCATAACAGAAAGCTGTGAAACCACATACATGTACTTAGATTAAACTGTTAAAGAGAAAAACATAAAATAATAAAGATACTAGGGCTGACAGAAATAAATGTCTGTTAGATCAACATTTCTATAATAATCACGCTAAGAACACATCTAATGCGAAATGAAAGCTTTCTACAGAATGCTACCTATGCTTTCTCACATAATCACCACCTCTGTCAACACAGGTGTGCCAACAAGGAACAAGTCTCTGCCTCGCGTCAGTGAAGCATTCAAACTTTTCTTTTCTACTACTTTCGCTCATTTTTGTGTCAAATCGCAATGGAATTGGGCTCTCGTCCATTTTTGGACATAAAAAGTTGAGCCTGTGTGTTTTTTTTTGTGTGTGCGTGTTTGTGAGTTTAATTATGGGTGTGGAGTGTGGGGGTAGTGTCAAAAAGTTGTTCAGATAAAGAGTCACACGCGTCTGTGGTGTCGCAGTTGCTTCTCTGTCGCACGCATGAGACTTGAGTTCGATTTCCTAGAGGGGAGAGCACCTTTATCGAGTATCTAGATGTTGCATCCCTCCCAGCCCGGGTTGGCCCTAAAAAGCAGGGTTGGAAACTCAAGATCGCCTCCTAAATTCTCAAAATTGTGTCGATGGGGGCGTACAAACGTCTACAGTGAAAAAAGAAAAAGATTTGTGCTCACCCGGGCTTCTAAAACCTTGTTGAGAAGAGAGACAGGTAGGGAGACATCTGGTAAGACCTCCACCCATGTCCTTTGGCACAGGTATCTGAACGGGGAATGATGTTGTAGGGCCAGGCCGATAGGTACATCATCGATGGTTAGTTTACAGTCCAGCACGATGGTGATAGGGCCTGGATTGGTTGGGGGGTGTTGAGGTGGAGGGAGGGGGAGGGGAAGGGCAGAGGGATAGGAGGAAGGGGGGGGGGGAAGAGAGGGAATAGGACGAGTAGACCGATCGGGGTATGGGGTAGATGGGGAGGAAAGGTTGGATGGTAGAGGAGGGAGGGGTGGAGGGGGAGGGGATAGGGTAAAGGGTGAGAAGGTAAGGGTAGTGGGGAAGGGCAGAGGGGTGGGAGGGGGGTAAAGGGTAAAGGGTAATGGGTAAAGGGGGAGGGAGACGGGTTGAGGGGTGGGAGAGAGGTAGAGGAGGAGGGGTAGTCAGGGAGGGTGGGGTTTGGAGAGGGGGGAGGGGGGGCGCACAAATAGAGAGATCGTTTGAGTTTGGGTTTTAAGGAAAGAGAAGAGCATTACCACATCAAAATCATTTAATGCAGGAAAGCCAGAAAAAGACGAAAGAAGTAGGACCTACCAGTGTCTCCTTCCAACCACTTGCAGGGAGGGAGGGGGAGGGAGAGAAAGAGAGAGAAAGAGTGAGAGAGAGAGAAAGAGATAGATAGAGAGAGAGAGAGAGAGAGAGAGAGAGAGAGAGAGAG